TAATCACCCCACCTTTTAGAATTTTGTCCGCAAAATTAATTCATACCTGTCCGCTAACTCAGGATATAGCCGGAGAATCTCGTCCTCCCGCTCCCAAGTAGCTTCCTCAGGCGTATGTCATTCCCACTGAATCTTTAACATTGGAATCACTTTGCTTCTAAGCTTCTTTTCACTGCGGTCTAGGACCTCAATAGGACCTATAGGAACTTTTAAATTCTCTCTGATTTCAATATCGTCCGGTATCACCACATGTGACTCATCCGGAATATAACGCCGCAACTGGGATACATGAAAAACATCGTGCAAATTTGACAATTGTGGGGGCAAGACAAGCCGATAGGCCACTGGTCCTACTCTTTTCATTATTTGATATGGCCCAATAAAACGAAGACTCAGCTTCCTCACGCCCAATGCACGTCCAACACCTGTAACTGGAGACAACCACACAAATACATGATCACCTTCTTCAAATTCCAGCAGACTGTGTCTATTATCATAATAAATTTTCTGCCGATTCTGTGCCTGTTTAAGTTTTTCTCTGATCATTTCGATCTGTGCTGTAGTTTCTTGCACAAAATCCGGCTCAAATCTCTCTTTATCACCTACCTCTGTCCAACAAGTAGGAGTACGACATCTCCGTCTATACAATGCCTCATACGGTGCCATGCCTAGACTGGAGTGAAAACTGTTATTATAAGAAAATTCCACCAGTGATAAATATCTATCCCAAGCAGTGCCCTGCTCAAGTGTGCAAGCTCTCAGCATATCCTCAAGTGCCTGTATGGTCCTCTCAGTCTGACCATCAGTTTGCGGGTGATACGCAGTGCTCAGCCGAAGCTGAGTGCCAAAAGCCTGCTGCAAGGCTCCCCAGAAACGAGAAGTAAATTTCGGGTCCCGGTCACTTACAATGCTAACCGGTATCCCGTGGAGCCTTACAATCTCTTTCACATATAACTTTGCTAATTTCTCTGTAGAGAAGTCCACTCGCACTGGCAGAAAATGTGCAGACTTTGTAAGCCTGTCCACTATTACCCAAATTGAATCGTGACCAGCCTGAGTCCGAGGCAAACCAACAACAAAATCCATAGAGATGCTCTCCCATTTCCACTCTGGTATATCCAACGGCTGAAGTAACCCCGCTGGTTTCTGATGTTTTATTTAAACTTTCTGACAAATTAAGCACCTTGATACATACTCAGCTACATCCTTCTTCATCCCAGGCCACCAGAACTTAGTTTTTAGGTCTTGATACATTTTTGTGGCACCTAGGTGTACAGCATACTGACCCTTATGGGCTTCCTCCATCACCTCATCTGCTAACTCCTTGGGCACAACAATCCTGCCCTGATACATTAATAAGCCCTGTTCATTCACAGATATTCCACTTTGCCCTTTCAAGTACTTGACACTGTCATTTTGTACCTGTGTTTCTTTAATCTTCTCATACAATTTATTTTCCACTTGTAACCCTCTGAATTCTTCCACACTACCAATGAAGACATCCACTAATTTCAAATCGCAGAATTATTCAATCACTTCATTATCCCACAACATAAGCTAGGACACGCTGACAGACTTCCTACTCAATGCATCTGCTACCACATTAGCTTTACCCGGATGGTATTTCAGCTCAAAATCGTAATCTTTCAGAAATTCAACCCATCTGCTTTGTCTCATATTTAGCTCCTTCTTATCAAACAAATACTTTAGACTCTTATGATCACTGAACACAGCAAATTTCATCCCATACAGAAAATGCCTCCAGATCTTTAAGGCAAACACAATAGCAGCGAGTTCTAAATCGTGCGTCGGATAACTTTCTTCATGAGGCTTCAACTGCCTCGAAGCATAAGCAACCACTCTCCTCTCTTGCATCAACACACACCCCAAACCTTTCTTAGAAGCATCACAGTATAATTCAAACTCACCTTCCAGGTCGAGGAGGGTCAACACAGGAGCAGTAGTCAATTTCTCTTTCAGGTCCAGAAAACACCTTTCACATTCCTGGGTCCATACAAAAGGAGTATCCTTTCGTGTCAATCGGGTCAACGGCAGTACCATTGTGGAAAACCCCTCAATAAACCTACGATAATATCCAGCAAGACCCAGGAAGCTCCGGATCTCCGTAACAGTTTTTGGTCGTTCCCAGTCCATAACAGCATCAATCTTATTTGGATCCACCGCAACACCCCTTTCAGAAATCAGATGACCCAAAAATTGTACCTCAGATACCAGAATTCACACTTTGACGGCTTTGCATACAACTTTTTATCCTTTAATACCTGCAACACTATCCTCAGATGCTCACTATGCTCTTCCTTGCTCTTAGAATAAATCAAGATGTCGTCGATGAACACAATTACAAACTGGTCCAGATACGGCTTAAAAATACGATTCATATAATCCATGAACACTGCTGGGGCATTTGTAAGCCCAAATGGAATCACCTGATACTCATAGTGTCCGTATCTAGAACAGAATGTTGTTTTAGTCACGTCCTCCGGTTTAATCCGAATCTGATGGTATCCAGACCGGAGATCAATCTTAGAAAACACACAGGCACCCCTCAACTGATCCAACAAGTCATCAATACGCGGCAATGGGTATCTGTTCTTAATCGTCACTTTATTCAATTGCCGATAGTCAGTACATAATCTCATGGTTCCATCCTTCTTTTTCACAAATATTACAGGTGCCCCCCACGGAGACACACTAGGTCTGATAAAGTCCTTTGCAGACAACTCCTCTATATGTTTCATCAACTCTGCCAACTCTAGCGGTGACATCCGGTATGGAGCCAAAGAAATAGGCCCCACACTAGGCAACAATTCGATCAAGAATTCAATCTCTCTCTCAGGTGGAAATTCCGGTATCTCATCAGGGAATACATCCACAAACTCATTAACCACCGGAATCGTAGAAATTTCAATCTCCTTACCACCCACTAAACCACCCAAGAAAATATAACCCTGATCCCCAGCCTTCAAGGCTTTAACAGCTTTACACATAGATAAAAAGGGAGATGGAGTAACTGAGGGCTTCTCGTGAGTTAATATTAACCTCTTGCCGCAACAATCAATCATTGCGCAGTTTTGAGACAACCAATCCATGCCCAATATCAAATTAAGAGAGGCCAGGGGCAAGATAATCAAATCAATAGTGTAACCCCTGCCTTCGCAGGTAAACCCAACCTCTTTACAAATAAAGGAGGAATCACTAACCTCTCCTGTAGCTGTAGTAATACGCATCGGGGGGATCATCCATGATTCTCTTAATCCCAACCCCTTAGCAACATATTCCGCCACGAATGAATGCGTAGCTCCCGTATCAAATAAGACAGATAAGTCAATATTAGAGATAAAGATTATACCTTTAACCAAATTTGGTGCCTTTGTCGTCTGTTGTGCATTAGTAGTATAGACACACCCAATCGTAGGAGCAGATGGAAAGGCCTGCAGATTCGCAGCCTGCCCGGTATTACTATAACAGTTGTTGGCATAATGCCCAACCTTACCACACTTGAAACACGAATTTGGGGCCACAGTACAAGGCCCTTAATGAAACCTTTTACATTTCTCACATCTAGGATTAGCATTTCTATCATTAAATCCACTCCTCTGTGCCCCACCTCTTTTGAACTATCCCTGGGGCTGCCTTACCTGCAACCCCCTACCTCTGTTGTTATTCTGATGATAACCACCCCTGTTATTATTACCTGGAGGACCAGATGTCCTCGTAGAACCAGATTTTGGATAACGGTTATAAACACTTTCTACCCGTTTGCACTGGGTCACAAGATCTGCAAAATTCCTCACAGCTGTATTAGACATTCTCTTTGCAATTTTCTCATTAAGACCCCTCTGAAACTTTGCAGATAGAAACTCAGGAGTCGGCAACACCCCCCCATAATTAGCAAATTTTACTAGCTCATTGAATTTCGCCACATAAGCATCCACTAACATGGTACCCTGTACCAGTTTCTCAAATTCGCCCTGCTTAGCTTCTTTAACATCCCTGGGAAAATATTCATCATGAAATAATCTCTCAAATAAGGCCCATGTGATCTCTTCCCCCTAAATAATAAAAGGTTGTGATGTAGTATACCACCACTCGTGGGCATCTCCCTCGAGCATATAAACAGAATATGATAACCTCTGGGGATCCTGACATCCCATAACTTGAAATATTTTATCCATACCTCTCAGCCAAGTTGTGACAACCAAAAAAAAAAAATCGCATTTTTGCTTGAACGGGATTAAGGATACATGTGTGTGGCTATGTGAGGTATCTAGTTTGGCTTTGCGAAATTCCTAGGTCATGGTTGCTAATTCTTCTTGATAATAAAACATAACTAGTAATGTTAGCAAATCACTAAGGCTATAACCATGTATTACTTAATAAACTACATGAGATGTTAATTGAAGTGACACTAGGAAAGGGCTTCGGCCATGAGACTTTATTGGGAAAGCATTAGGAGTGGTTGTAAATAAAACTCTTAAGCCTAAGCTTGTATGGATCTTTTAAGTTCAGCCCATGATTCCCTTAGAAACTTGTCATGAAAACAAGCATTAAAATCTGGCCCAAACAATGTATAATCAGCCCTCTACACAGTGCAAATCCAGCCCAAAAGTGAACCCCAATCGGCCTTTGATCCACATAAATTAATTAGTTAAAAATCATACTAAGTCTCATCAAAAATTCTGATTGATGGACGTCTTTTGTGGTCTAAAATTTGCCTCCAACTTGCGCCTATGGTCTTGCTGGCATGGCTGCCAAAGCTGACTCCTCACTACCCAAAATCTGATTGCTTGTAAGCCTTGTGAGCAGATTTTCTTGCCCCAATCAGTTGCATGCAATCTGAAAAAGCAATGCACTTAACCTTTCTTTTCCCTTCCTTGCGCTGACCCCTCCTCTTGTGATCAGAAAAATGTGAACTCCATCTACTCCCCTCACAATTTAAAAAACGCCAAAGCTCCCTACATTGCCTCACCATGCGCTGATTGTAGGAGACATTTAGGAAAAGCTAGACAACTTCACTACTCCTCCTCTCTTGTGCGCTAGCAAGAGAGGTAAGATACCTTATCATTCCAAGTTTAAATCCATCATCAACCTTGTACCATTCCCAGCCACATAACCGGAGAAGACCTTCAAGCATTGGAGGCAACCTTCAACACTCTCTTCCTCGGTTTCTCCCTTCATCAAGAAGCTGGAAGTCGGCCCTTTCGCTCTTGGAAACTCACCTCTTTAAGCTCTCCATTTTCTCCCCTTCGTATACAAGTGTAACCTTGCAAAGGACAAGTAAGTCTCTTTCCTTTCTTTGCCTATGTCTCGGATTTCATGAGGGCCTAAGGGTAGGAATGCTTCTTTGGTCACTAGTTGCATGAGGGTAGAAATTAAAAATGCTATGTTTCTGCCTTCTATCTAAAAGAAAACGAAATTTAAAGGCCTTGCGTGTAACTATAAAATTTATTAAACAGCCGCGTTTAGATGACACCCTTGCATGCATAATAAAAATGATGGAAGAACTAGTATAAGTTAGGAAATGATTTTTAGACTATTGAAGTAAAAAGAGCTTAGAGGGGGACTTAAAAACCGTCAACCTTTATGTCTATGGAATGTTAATTTCTTTGTTTTGATGTATGACGTATAGGTTCCCAAGCCTCAAGGAGAACAAATTAATTTGGAGGTTTATTTGGTTAAGTACCTCAAGGAATGTAAGTGCTTGGTGATTTAACCTCTTGTGACTATGGAATTTAAGTAATGAAATACTTATATGTGACATGTGTGCTTCATTTAATTTTTGCGCTTTGTGAAGCTATGATCTTACTTGTTGGCACAATCTGTTTTGATTATTATAGTTATGGGACTATAAATATGGATATGAGTTTTGACATGCATGTGCACTGCATTCATTGACTCTTTAAATTAATTGTGTGAAAGGCATTTTATCTTGTTGCATGCATCATGGTCCTCACGGTTAGAGAAGCATATTGGGAAAACATTTTCGAAAATAATCATCTGCTTGAGCAAGCATCATTTAGGCATGTCGAAGGTACCCGGCAATAGCACCTTGGCTCCGTGCACATAGGACCATTGGGAATTCACCTTGTTGGGCCACACGAATCTCCCTTGGTATTTTGTAGCATGTGCACTCTAGTGCTATGGACATGCATTTTGGCGTTATATACGCACCTTGACTAACATCTAACCCATGTGTTACATTTTGATAAGTCTTTGTTTAAACCCATACTGTTGCATTATTGGATGAATTGCCGCATTGCTGGGATTATTCTCACCCCTTTGGGGGCTCATTTTCTATGAAAATGCAGGTGGAAGGAAAAGCGTAGAAAAAGGGGATAAATGAATCTATAACTTATGTAATGGCTGTATTTTATTGTTTGTGGTATTACCTTGTTCGATCTTGTGGAGCTGCTGCCCTATGTGCTTTACTTGGTGACGCGATGAGCTAGTTGGTTCGCTGTTTCTATTTTGATTGTGAACTTTATGTGATGAAAGTTGTGATGAACACCTGAACTTATTGTTCTATATATTTTGAGGGGAGGTTTTCAGTTTAAGTTGCTGGAGATTTTGAGAGCCTAGGAGGAATAGATGACAATATGCCTCTCAACAAGAGCTCGTTATTATTTTAAACGCTTTCTGTTTTTAGCACTTATGAACGTCTGTTTTCTAACCAAGTTATCATGTTCTATAGGTCTTCAAATTTTCAGGAAACAGTAAATTCTTGTAGGTACAGATGTTAGTTATTGAACAAAAAAGGAAAACCCAGATTTGCACCACATCGCGATTTTATACGAATTTTTGAGTAATGGTCGTTTCTGAAAAACGCTGAAAAATCCTGCACTGTTGGGCAGTTTCAAAATTAATTTCCCGTGGCTACATATGTCCGTTTTAAACAAACTTTATACGTAATTAAAGCTTGAGATGTCTACTTTAATTTAGAAGAAGAATAACGATTTTTAGAGCTCTGTAGAATTTTATAAAAATCATACAAGACAGACTGTTTTCCAGAAGAGGACTTCTTGATGTTTGCAAACATTTTAAAACTTTTGGTCGCTGTTTTCAGTCCTTTTATGCGTCAGTTCAATTCTTATCATTCCGGATTGACTATAGGTAAAAGAAAATGTCACAAACCACTCTAATAGTATTCAGATAACATTCCTCTTGGACGCGTACAAGAGCGGGTGTTACATTAATGGTATCAGAGCAGTTTTGATTCATGGTGATTGTTTTTGATTGAATTGTTTGCTGTTTATGATTAATGATTGCAATGGACTGTTAGATATTTACTACTTGCTATATGATGAATTGTTTAGAATGTTAGAACTATGAAATTTAGAACTGTTAGAAGTAAATAATGATAGTGACGGGTGCACTACTAGCTTACCTGATTCGAACTTGAGTGCCTACTTGGAATTGCTGTCATAAATAACTTGCAGTGAGTCTGATCAGCTCATTTCGTGCTATTGTGAGTGCAGAGACATGGCAGGTACTCGTGGTTCCACTCAGGGAAGAACGGGAACTGCACCTGACGATCTAATTACCACTGTTGGCGGGTTGGCCACTTTCGTCCACAATATGAGTCAAGAGTGGAGGGACTACCAACAACAGCACCCGAACCAACCCCCACTGCAAGACAATGCAGAACAAATTGCCAGACAAAGGCTGAAGGATTTCCGTAATTTCCAACCACCTGTATTTGAAGGTGGTGACAATCCCAAAGCTGCAGCGAAGTGGCTGCAGATGATGGAGCATATTTTTGAGCGAATGGGATGCCCAGAAGCTCAGAAACCGGATTATGCCTCGTACCAGCTAACGGGAGAGGCATTAACATGGTGGACTGGCGCTAGAGCTCTGCTGCGAGCTCAGAACATTGACTTGACTTGGGCCGTATTCAGGAGAGTATTTCTGGACAAGTATTTTCCAAAAGCAATGAGAAGAATGAAGCACACCGAGTTGCTGTCTTTGAGGCAAGGGAACATGTCTATCAATGAATATATTGCAAAGTTTGCTCAGCTGATGGAATATGCCAACTTCGACCGAAACATCTACGATGAGGAATGGCAGGTGGAAAAATTTGAAAGCGGATTGCACCCGGAGATCAGAAAGCTAATGTTGACCACAGCTGTTCGTACGCTCCCAGAAATCATTAATCAGAGTCGGCAGGCGGAGGACATTATCACTGAAGCAAGAAATTTGAGCAGGCAACCGGTGCAACAGCAAGGAGGAAGCAGGATTGGAAGATTCTTCAAGAAGTTCACCAGTCAGAACAAGGGCAAAGGTTCGCAAATGCAGGCTCGCGCTGAAAATTTCAAGAAGAACACTTTCACTGGATCATCTTTAGCTGGACGTCAAAATATTCCTATTTGTACTGCTTGTGGGAGGAACCATACTGGATATGCAGACGAAAGAATAATTTATGCTATGGATGCGGAGAGTCAGGACACTTCGCCGCAGATTGCCCAAAGAATGCCTACCCAGCTCGTTCTAATCAGCCTCCTACTCAAGGCCGCGTCTTCACCCTTGATGCTAATGAAGCCCAGAAGTATCCAAATTTGATTCGAGGTAACATAATTCTTAATGGTTGTATGATTTCTTCTATTTTTTGATTCTGGAGCATCTGGTTCGTTTATGGCAAAACATATAGCTTCGAGAATAGGCATCACCCCAGCCCCGTTGCCCTATGAGTTACACGTTAGTACCCTCACTGGAGGATCATGCACAGCCTCAGAAATTTGCAGAGGCGTTCTTTTGAAGTATGAGGGAAGCATTTATACAATCAACTTAGTGGTGCTACCGGTTTTCAATTTCGAAGTGATTATCGGTATGGACTGGTTGGCGGAGAACAAAATCACCTTGGACTGTCAAGCAGGGAAGATTATTGTTCCTCCAAAAGACGGTAAATTTCTGTCTTTTGCTGCTATCTCTTTGTTACAGGTTAGGAGGGAGCTCCTTCGGGGAGCTGCAGGTTATCTTTTGTCGGTCGAGGCTGAGACCCCGGTTGAAAATCCTATTCAAAATGTACCAGTGGTGAATGGATTCGAGGAGGTGTTTCCTGATGAAATTCCTCGATTACCCCCTCAGCGGGAAGTAGAATTTTCCATTGAGCTTATTCCCGGAGTTGGACCTATTTTCATTGCTCCGTATCGTATGGCCCCTTTGGAACTCCGAGAGTTAAAGAAGCAAATAGAAGAACTGCTGGCAAAAGAATCCATAAGACCTAGTATTTCCCCCTGGGGTGCACCAACAATTTTGATAAAGAAAAAAGATGGTAGTCTACGTCTATGTGTGGACTATCGTCAGCTGAACAAGGTGACTGTAAAGAATAAGTACCCACTGCTGAGGATTGATGATTTGATGGATCAACTCAGAGGTGCCAAAGTATTCTCCAAAATAGATCTTCGATCGGGATACCATCAAATCCGGGTCAAACCGGAGGATATTCTGAAAACTGCTTTCCGTACCCGTTATGGGCACTATGAATATCAAGTGATTCCGTTCGGACTCACAAATTCTCCAGCGATATTCATGGACTACATGAACCGTATCTTCCGTCCCTTCTTGGATCAGTTTGTCATAGTGTTCATCGATGACATCCTGATTTATTCTGTCAATGAAGAATTACATGCGGCACACTTGAGGATTGCATTGCAAATTTTAAAGGAGAAGCAGTTGTATGCAAAGTGGTCTAAGTGTGAGTTTTGGCTCAATGAAGTCCAGTTCTTGGGCCACGTAATTTTTGCTGAAGGTATTGCAGTTGATCCCAGCAAGGTCGAAGCAGTGATGAATTGGGAACAACCTCGAACTGTCACAGAAGTGCGAAGTTTCTTGGGGTTAGCAGGTTATTACAGGAGATTTATTCAAAATTTCTCGCGATTGGTACAGCCTCTCACTCGTATCACTCGGAAGGATGTGCCTTTTGAGTGGACCGAAGATTGTGAAGAATGTTTCCGGGAACTAAAGAATAGATTGACTAGTGCGCCAACCCTTACCATTCCAGATCCAACTAGGAAATTTGATGTATACTATGATGCGTCACTGAAAGGACTTGGTTGTGTCTTAATGCAGGATCGTATGGTCGTAGCTTATGCCTCTCCGCAATTGCAGTCTCACGAAGAAAACTATCCTACCCACGATTTGGAGTTAGCAGCAGTGGTTTTCGCGCTGAAAATCTGGAGACATTATCTGTATGGTTCACAGTTTGATGTTTTCAGCGTTCATAAAAGTCTGAAGTATCTATTTGATCAGAAGGAGTTGAATACGAGGCAACGTCGGTGGATGGAATTTTTGAAAGATTATGATTTTGAGTTGAAGTACCACCCCGGCAAAGCGAATGTTGTAAATGATGCCTTGAGTCGCAAGACTCTTCATACCTCTGCATTGATGATGGAGGAAATGAAAATGTTCGAAGATTTTCGGGATATGAACTTGTCTGTCACCCGAAGAAAACATAGCATAAGGTTGGGAAGAATACAAATTGAGAATGAGCTTATTAGTCGTATAAGAAGAGCACAGAGAGATGAGGGACTCGTTCAAGAATTTTCTGGTCACCCAGATGACTCTCGGGATGAGGACAATGTGTTGAGGTATCAAGGACGATTGATAGTGCCAAATGAAGAGCTAAGGCAAGAAGTGTTACATGAAGCCCATAAGGGAAATTACTCGGTGCATCCAGGTTCCACTAAAATGTATAATGACTTGAAGACTTCTTTCTGGTGGCCTGGTATGAAGCGTGATATTGCGGAGTATGTGGCTCGGTGCTTGACGTGTCAGAAGGTAAAATTTGAACATCAGAAACCTTCAGGACTTCTACAGCCTCTGGAAATTCCTGAGTGGAAATGGGACAACATAGCGATGGATTTCGTTGTCGGACTTCCTAGGACGCGGGAAGGTTATGACGCCAATTGGGTAATTGTTGATCGTCTTACCAAGTCAGCACATTTCTTGAGCATTCGTACAACTTACACCACTGAGAAGCTTGCACAAGTCTATTTACGGGAGATTGTGAAGTTACACGGAGTTCCAACAAGTATCATCAGTGATCGTGATCTGAAGTTTACTTCAAGGTTCTGGGAGTCTTTTCAGAGGGCTCTTGGGACTCAATTAAGATTGAGCACTGCTTATCATCCGCAGACGGATGGTCAGACGGAAAGAACCATCCAAACCCTTGAAGACATGTTGCGCGCGTGTATTCTGGAGCAAGGCGGTAGTTGGGACAAATACCTTCCATTGGTGGAGTTTGCATATAATAATAGTTACCATTCTAGTATTGGAATGGCTCCCTACGAAGCCTTGTATGGGAGAAAGTGTGGGCCCAGACAAGATAGAAGAGTTACTATGACAATCGTCACAAACCTTTATCGTTTGATGTAGGAGACCATGTGTTCTTGAGGATCACACCGACTTCTGGGCTAGGCAGGAGAATGGGAATGAGGAAGTTGAGTCCTCGTTACTTGGGACCTTTCCTTATTCTTGACAGAATTGGTGAATCAGCTTATCGTCTAGCCTTGCCACCAAACCTAGCAGGACTCCATGACATCTTCCATGTTTCTCAGTTGAGGAGATACATCTATGACTCATCACATGTGTTGCAGCCTGAGGACGTGGAACTAAGAGAGAACTTGACTTATTCCGTACGTCCATTTCAGATTCTTGAGAGATCTGTCAAACGTCTACGCTCGAAAGAGGTTCCATTGGAGAAAGTTCAGTGGAACGATAGGACGGCATACGAGACGACTTGGGAGCGCGAAGATGAAATGCGAAATTTATACCCGGAACTTTTCGAATAGGTACGTCGTTCGAATTTTGCTTGAACGGGATTAAGGATACATGTGTATGGCTATATGAGGTATCTAGTTTGGCTTTGCGAAATTCCTAGGTCATGGTTGCTAATTCTTCTTGATAATAAAACATAACTAGTAATGTTAGCAAATCACTAAGGCTATAACCATGTATTACTTAATAAACTACATGAGATGTTAATTGAAGTGACACTAGGAAAGGGCTTCGGCCATGAGACTTTATTGGGAAAGCATTAGGAGTGGTTGTAAATAAAACTCTTAGGCCTAAGCTTGTATGGATCTTTTAAGTTCAGCCCATGATTCCCTTAGAAACTTGTCATGAAAACAAGCATTAAAATCTGGCCCAAACAATGTATAATCAGCCCTCTACACAGTGCAAATCCAGCCCAAAAGTGAACCCCAATCAGCCTTTGATCCACATAAATTAATTAGTTAAAAATCATACTAAGTCTCATCAAAAATTCTGATTGATGGATGTCTTTTGTGGTCTAAAATTTGCCTCCAACTTGCGCCTATGGTCTTGCTGGCATGGCTGCCAAAGCTGACTTCTCACTACCCAAAATCTGATTGCTTGTAAGCCTTGTGAGCAGATTTTCTTGCCCCAATCAGATTGCATGCAATCTGAAAAAGCAATGCACTTAACCTTTCTTTTCCATTCCTTACGCTGACCCCTCCTCTTGTGATCAGAAAAATGTGAACTCCATCTACTCCCCTCACAATTTAAAAAACGCCAAAGCTCCCTACATTGCCTCACCATGCGCTGATTGTAGGAGACATTTAGGAAAAGCTAGACAACTTCACTACTCCTCCTCTCTTGTGCGCTAGCAAGAGAGGTAAGATACCTTATCATTCCAAGTTTAAATCCATCATCAACCTTGTACCATTCCCAGCCACATAACCGGAGAAGACCTTCAAGCATTGGAGGCAACCTTCAACACTCTCTTCCTCGGTTTCTCCCTTCATCAAGAAGCTGGAAGTCGGCCCTTTCGCTCTTGGAAACTCACCTCTTTAAGCTCTCCATTTTCTCCCCTTCGTATACAAGTGTAACCTTGCAAAGGACAAGTAAGTCTCTTTCCTTTCTTTGCCTATGTCTCGGATTTCATGAGGGCCTAAGGGTAGGAATGCTTCTTTGGTCACTAGTTGCATGAGGGTAGAAATTAAAAATGCTATGTTTCTGCCTTCTATCTAAAAGAAAACGAAATTTAAAGGCCTTGCGTGTAACTATAAAATTTATTAAACAGCCGCGTTTAGATGACACCCTTGCATGCATAATAAAAATGATGGAAGAACTAGTATAAGTTAGGAAATGATTCTTAGACTATTGAAGTAAAAAGAGCTTAGAGGGGGACTTAAAAACCGTCAACCTTTATGTCTATGGAATGTTAATTGCTCTGTTTTGATGTATGACGTATAGGTTCCCAAGCCTCAAGGAGAACAAATTAATTTGGAGGTTTATTTGGTTAAGTACCTCAAGGAATGTAAGTGCTTGGTGATTTAACCTCTTGTGACTATGGAATTTAAGTAATGAAATACTTATATGTGACATGTGTGCTTCATTTAATTTTTGCGCTTTGTGAAGCTATGATCTTACTTGTTGGCACAATCTGTTTTGATTATTATCATTGACTCTTTAAATTAATTGTGTGAAAGGCATTTTATCTTGTTGCATGCATCATGGTCCTCACGGTTTGAGAAGCATATTGGGAAAACATTTTCGAAAATAATCATCTGCTTGAGCAAGCATCATTTAGGCATGTC